CTTAATAAGACTTTTTGAAAGGATCATTTCTCCTTCCCCATTTCCACCCTGAGTTTGTCTTCTGTTCGCTTGATCTGCACTGGGAGGGGAGGGGTCACTTGCAGGGTCCCAGTAAAGGGACCTGGAGAACAAAGCAGGCCTTGGGGTGGTGCGCCCACACAAGAGGAAAGCAGGACATGGGAGGGTAGGAGGGGGTGGCCATTTGGTTGTTCAGAATTGGTACGCCCATAGCACATCTGCTGAAATCCTGCTCTTCATGGTAGTACTTCCTGTCCATGGGGAACCGCCAGGTGCTGGTGCAGACCAGTAGACTCAGCTGCTGCAGGCAGAGACCTGGCCTTCTTGCACGTTGGCATCAAGAGGTACCTGGGATGCATCCACTGCAGTGGTGTATCAGACTAATCATCCACCTGCCGTGCCAGCGTCCCCGACTGCTGCACATCCCACTCAGCTCCCTGGAAAACAGCAGAGGATGGCCCAGGGCATTGGCACCCTACACCCACATGGAGGACCTGGGAGAACCAACGGATGGAAGATCTCTAAGTCTATCCTTTATGTAAATTTGCCTTTCAAATGAAAGTTTGGAGAAGTCCCCTGGGATCTCCCAGCAGGGACTGGAGCCCTGGCCTCCGAGTGTGGCCGTGCCCAGAGAACAATCATCTTATAACACAAGCTCGTGTGAGAGGGACCATCATTCCACGTGGTCATCTAGAGATCCTGGAACTCGGGGACCCATGAACTTGGGAGATAACTGCCTCTTTATTCACACCGACCTCCCACTAGCTATGAACTCGGACAGTCATGAATGACCTGATACCAGTCACGTTTTTATAGCATGTTGGCGCAGTTGCAGACATCTTGGAATGCTCGAGTGAAACAGGGCAAGGAAGACCACCTGCTTGTGCAGGAACAGGAATTGAGCTCAGGCAACAGGGACACCCAAGGTCACAGGGCAGAAACAGAGTCAGTGCTGGCCTCCAGGTCTCAAGCCCTGTTCCACATGAGGATCTCAAACCCCAGCTGTATCCCTGGTCCTGAGCTGGAGCCTGGGATACAAAATTGAGAAATCCACTTGGCTTTTAGGGGGTAAAAAGTAAGACTTATCTTTCCCCATGTAATTGTATTTCCCAAGAGATAGGAACCCAAGTTAAACTGATTTAATTAAGGGATTTGCTGGTACAGTATGAAGAGTTTAGGGATGTGTGGCTTCAGGCATGGCTGGATCCAGCAGCTAAAACTGTGTTGCCTAGAATTATTTTCTCCTATCCTCTCAATTCTGTGTAGCTTTGTCTTTTGAAGTGAGTCTTTTCTTATGGTGACCAAGATAGCCTTCCACAGCCTAGGCAGATCCTCCACCAGTTTGGCAACTTGAGTGAAAAGTTGGCCCTTCTCTTTCAGGTATTCTGGAAGCAGTCCAGAGGCTGGCCCTCATTGGTCTGAACAGGGTGTGTTGCCTCTCCCTGTTACTTGGCAGCCCCAGTTTGGGTGAGAGCGAGCACCTTCCCAGCTCCAGGGCTGGGGCGCGTCGGCCTTGGTGGTTCTCTGTGAGATTGCTCCAGGGGATTTGTGTGTCTTGAGGCTCTGGGTCGGTGGGGGAGTGATGAGATACGCACGATGATTTGCACAACAAAGAATTGGGAGAAACCATTCTCGCTTACCTCCCTGGCCACGGTGATGGCCACAGGAAAGCTGGGCCTAAAGCTTTCCGTACCTGTTAGAACTGGAGCTGGGTGTGAAAATGTGATTTTGGCTACAGCCGCTTGGCAGCCCCCGCTCCCCAGAAGCCAGCCCGAAATGATTGCTGTCACATAGATGAGGGAAGAGTTGACAAAACAGCAGACATAGCCCTGATCAAACCGCACCTGAAGTCCACCTACTGCTGGCCCCATCAGTACCAGGAGCCAGTCAATCTCTTCCTGCCTGAGTGACGTGAGATTGAGAGCTTTGCTGGCGTCAACACCGATGTTCCCATTTGAATTCAGAGATTGGAGGTGGAGGAGCAGGAAGCTCTGCTGGGACCCTGTGAGCTGGGGCGGGACCACGTGGTGAATCCCAGGAGGCTGGGGAAGGTTTGCCTAGCCAAATATTTATCATCTGCCTGATCCTTCAAAAGCCAGCGCCCACCTTCTTGCTGGCAAGAGGGCCTCCTGCTAGCCTAGGCCTGCTCCCCAGGTGGCCTCTGTCTTTGACCTGCTAGAGGATCACAGGAAACACCCGTGTTCCTGCTGCCCACCCTGTCCACCCACTCGCCTTGGGCCAGTCCCTTTCCAGGCCAGGAAACAGGAGCAACATCCTCCCGGCACAGCAGTGTCAGGCTGTTCATGCCTGGAACGGCCACGAGGGGGCAGTGGCACACCGCAGTGCCCATGGCTCCCACCCATCCACTTTCCCACACATCCTGGTGACGTTAGACAGGTTTGTATGAGGTTAAAACACAACATGCTGGGTCCTTCCCCTGCAGCTTCTGTTTGTCTGGGACGAGGAACAACAGCACATTCATTCATTTTTTAAAAAGATTTATTTATTTTTATTAAAAAGTCAGATGTTCATAGAGAGGAGAAGAGACAAGAGAGGAAGATCTTCCATCCACTGACTCACTCCCCAAGTGGCTGCAATGGCCAGAGCTGAGCCGATCTGGAGCCAGGGGCCAGGAGATTCTTCCAGGTTTCCCACACGGGTGCAGGGTTCCAAGGCTTTGGGCCGTCCTCTACTGCTTTCCCAGGCCACAGGCAGGGAGCTGGATGGGAAGCAGCGCTGCTAGGATTAGAACTGGCGCCCATATGGGATCCCAGTGCATGCAAGGTGAGGATTTGGGGCACTAGACTACCACACCTGGAGAATATGGCAGCCCATGTGATACCATAGCAGAGGGAGGAGAAACTGAGTAAATTGGACAACTACCTCAGCAAACAATGACAGCAAAAATCAGTGTGAATGGAGACTTGAGGTCGACTAAGTCAGCCAGCGGACATTGGGAGGGTTGCCTCACTCATGGATTGGCGAAATCGACTGCATTTCAAAACTATCCAAACCATTTGGTCAGAACCCTTGGAACCCTGGGTTCATATCAGGTGATGGTTCCCCACCCTGAGTACTGGGGTATTTTGGAGGCTTAGTGTGGCTTCCCCCAGAGACAAGAAGAAATAGAGAATTTGGAAACAATAATAAAAAAATCCAAATCCCCCAAGCTCTCTGGCTATGCCAGCTTTGAACCAGATGGCTTTTTCTGCATTTCCTTTCTGTGGCCAGCAGGTGGCTGCAGCTCTCTTGGCCTGGGCTCCCAGAGTGGAGGTTCCCTGAAGAAGTGATGCTGAGGCAAGGGCTAGGGGCTGGGACCAGGCACCTTCTTGTGAGGGGCTGGTGACAGGGAGGATGGGGGAACCCTGGACGTGGTCCTTCCCCTGCTCTGTGTCTTGGGGAGTTTCCCCTCTCGGGACTCCTTGTCTCCCGCCTCCCATTTTTGGAAGATTTGACTAAGGGGTCACAGCTGGAAGCTGGGGGACAGAAGCGAATGGAAGCCAGGGGCTTTGCCGACCTCTGACTGCAGCCGGCCTGGCTGGGCTTCCAGCCTGGACTGGCCTCCCTGCTACCTTGACCTTGAGCTACCTGCTGCCCTTGACCTTCTGGGCTCACAGACCACACAATCAGAGGTTATTCCCCACCCTAACTGCCTTCTTTCTGGCATCTTTCTCTTGGTTGATTTGTAGTTTTTTGAAAGCCACTGAGACAGAAACAGATGGAAATCTCTGATCCAGGGGTTCACTCCCTAACTGCCCCCCACAGCAACCAGGGCTGGGTCGGGCTGAAGCCAGGATCCCAGAGCTCCATCTGAGTCTCCCGTGCAGGTGGTAGGAACTTCAAGTGCTTGAGCTGTCACCCAGGACGCACACCGGCAGGAAGCCAGAGTTGGGGGAGCAAGCCAACACTGGAATCACAGACACTCGAATGAGATATGGGCTTGTCCAAGCACCTGCCCCAAATCCCTTCTCTTTTATTATGCTGGACCTAAAGCAGCTGCTCCTTCTACGTGGTTCTATTTATATGAAGTTCTGGAACAGACAAAACTCAGCCGTGGTGATAGGAATCAGACCGGCGGCTGCCTGCAGGGGAGGCGGGAGAGCTCTGAGGTCGTGGAAACCTGTCACACTGATGGAGGAGGTTTGTGGGCGTTTGTAGAGACTCGTGAGGCCCAGACTTACACCTCCATAAAATTAATTTAGAAAGAAATACCAAGAGTGTTTTCTATCTACTTCACGGCAGCACACTTATTTTTTAACATGCACAGGTGGACCATGCAAGATGATGTAGAATTTATGTGTGTGTTTGCAGGGGCGGGGAGGGTTCTTCCCCTTTGAGTTTCTTTAGACGATGAAGCAGGAGACACCAGCCAGAACTTGGCACTTGGCTTGGTTTATTTCAGGCTGGTCCCAGTCCCCCAGGGGGTGCCTCGGGTGCCTTCTCCCTGCCTTGCCCTGCCTTCTCAAGGGAAAAGGGACTCCCGGAGGCATGCTTCCTGCCTTCCTTGCCACTGGGTGCTTTCATCTTGCGGGATTCAGGAAGGAGTGGGCCCCTGAGTCCTGTCTCGGGGAGGCAGCTTTCTCAGGCAGCACAGGCTGGCCACGCAGCGTGGCACGTGGGTCTCTGAGGGCGACTTTGCAAAACTTCAGGAAGGGAAGCAGGTGCTGCAGGAGACCCTAAGTTCCATTCACCTCCGCAGTGGTTTACTTCAATATACACCCCCACCAGCCAGCCAGGGTGTTGGTCCAGCCCAGCCCCATGTAGAGGCCTGGTCGTTAAGTTAAGTTATCAGCTGCCCCATGTCTGCCCAGTGGGGAAGCTGGTTAACGCAATCTGTCAGCTGAGAATGACCCAGAAGCCCAACGAGACCTTGGCCAATCTTTCTGGCTGAGTTGGGGGAGGGAGCCTTGGGGCCACACTCCTTGCTGTGTCTCAGCGTCCTGATGGAACAGATAGCTTGAGGCTGCTCTTGGCCTCCTGGCCCCGCATGGCAGACCCTCAGTGGACTGCTGCTGTCAGGGCCACCCGCTGGGGACAGTGAGCACCTCGTCTCCTCTCCCAGCTGGCTCTAGAAAGCACTGCCCAGTGGGCTGCGGCCCCTGGTTGGAGGGCAGGGTCCCAGCAGGCACAGGCGGCGTTCAGTCTCCAGTCGGCAGAAGCGATTCTGGTTGGACACCCGGCTGGCCATGCCCAGCCCACAGGTGGTCGAGCAGGGGCCCCAGGCTGTGCTCCATTCTGGGCATGCGACGCCAGGAGGCTGGGGAGCTGCAAGGCCAGAAAATTGGGGTCCTGGGGCTGGAGAGAGAGAATGGGGTCAGTTTTGTGAGGGCAGGGTTTTACAGCCCGATCCCTCTGCCTTGCAGCGGCCACAGCAGTCCTGTTGTTTAACCTCCCTGGACCTCAGTTTCTTCTGTGCATTTCCTCAGGGTCCACTGTTGGGATTGTGTTCATAATGGACACGAAGCGCCACACACAGAGCCTAGAGCCTGTGAGGCCTTATCGTTCAGTGACCATCAGGTGGCGCCAACCTCTTGTGCTAAAAATTCCCAAACCACAGTCTGGAACACCTTCTTTCTCCTGCCCCTCGGTATCCTGGTGGGGGACAAACCCATCACCGCTCCGTCCCTATGCAGGAAAGCATCATATTTGTGTGGAAATTGCACAAACACTTCCGGACCCTTTCCATCAGCTCCGGACTCTTTGTCATACCAAAATACAAAGTGAACTGCGGAACTTGCTGTTACACTGTGTCTTTTAGGGGGTGATGACAAAAAACAGTGCACACTTTTCAGTATTTCCACTCTTAAGGGGGATTGAGTCCTTGAGGGCAGAACCGGCAGTGGATGGCCGTGTGCGCACGTGTTCATGAGTGCCCTCGCCAGCACGTGCCACACACACAGGTGCCACATCCTTTGTAGGTACCGCGGTGCCCCCTGGGGAATGCTCCTTTCTGCCAGGCATCTGTATCAAACTCCATCACAAGTGTGACCCTGGCCGCCTGCCACGTAACCCTGCATCCAAGGCTCTGCTGGATGTGTCAGTGCTGATACCCTCCGCCGGTGGGTGCTCAGAGCATCCCTGCCTGACAGTGGAGGAACTGAGAGAAGTTAAGCAACTTGGTGCATACTTGCATGGCAAGGCCACCTGCGTGCACTTGATCCACTACACTCCCCTGCGTTCGTGTGGCTGCATCATTTGCAGAACCAATGCCTTCTTTCCAGTTGGCCCCCTACTTGTTTAAACCACATTCACAAATAATGAATGAAACTTAAAAAAAAAATCCACACACACATGCCTCTCCACCCATGCCAGGTGTGATGGGACCTCCCCCAGCCAGGCCCTAGTTCTGCCCACATCTGGGACACATGCCCCCATTCCTCGGGGTTCAGTGCTGGGTCCTTTGGAACAGCCCTTGGACTAAGCTATCTTGTTAATGGGCATGGCTACGTCGTAACCAGAGACCAGGATGGTGCGAGACACCTGCTGCTGTCAGCTGTGAGATTTTGGATGAAGCCTCTTGACCTCCCCCTCCTGGCTCTGCCACGGAGGTTTGATTTTAGTAATTGGGGTTTGACGTTAGGTATCAGAATTGTTGCCACTCTCAGCTTCTGAGGCTCGGAGACTCTCCCATCTCACTTGCACCCTCAGTCACAGCTCCTACCAGCCCCCTGCCACCTGGCCCCTCGCTCGGCAGCCTGTAACTCCCTACCCCACAGCCAGTCCTGCCAACACTCACCTTGCACTTGGAGGGGCTGGGTCCTCAGCCCGCCTCCCTGGTTGCACACCCACTCAGGGCAGCACTTGCCAGGTACCTCCACCCGCACGGGGTGGGGACAGTCCCAGCTGGGCAGCCGGATGTCCTCGCTACACAGTGGCACGCAGGTGAGGCCGCCATCTTCGCAGCGGCACAGGACCCTGCAGTGTGGCTGGAAGGTGTCTCCATCCTGGTACAGGCGGCCACCCACTTCACAGCTCCCGGCCTCCTCTTCGACTGCAAGGGGAGACCAGACCCCATTGGTGATCCTTTCCCCAGTCTGGCATGCCCCATCACAGAGATGACCCAGGCCAAGCCCTTACAGCATCTGAGCCATACCCAGGGCACCGGCACAGCAGCATGTATCACCCACCCTGTGGCCAGCCTGCCCTGGCACACTCCTGCTCCTGGCAGAGAGCCCAGCCCTGCTCTTTGTCAGCTGTGAATTTTAGCCCAGTGAGTTCACTTGCCTCAGTTTCCTCATCTGCAAAAATGGGCATATGTGCAAGGGTGCTTACTGCATCAAGTGGTATAGATGGGATGAAAGGGCAGGTGTAATGGGACCCTAGCCAGGCCCTAGCTCCTCTGCTCCGCTCATAAACACAGCGAGGATCTACTGGGAGAAGGAAAAATGTCTGGCATGAAGGAATGGTACATGGATTTCAAAATTATTGCATGAAAAAGTTCCCATGTGTCGCTCAGCGACTGCACCATGTGCACTGGCACCTGTTAACCTGCTGTGACTTGCTGGCCACCTGCTGCCTTGCGGACATCCCTGCCAGGTCAGTGCTTGACTGGTTGCCCGTAGGACTGTGGGTGAGTGAGTGACAACTTCCGAGTGGCCACGGTGACAGCAGCAGTCTGCACCCCAGGTCCCGTGGGACCATATGTCTTGCCAGCTGGTGATCTTTGCATCATCTCCCTCTGGCTGCCCTGACAAGAGTAGAGGAATGGGACATCATTTTTTTCTTTTTAAGCTTCAGCTACTTGCAAGCGACATGACCTTAGGCAGGCAATTTAAGCTTGGCCAGCGCCAGTTTACTCATTGGCAAGGTGGGGCAATGCCTTGGTGTAGGGGGTAAGCTGAACTGTATCTAAAAAGAAATAACTTCTACTAGCAAGGAACAGCCAATGCTAAGGTCCTGCGGTGGCCATGGCCTAAGCTTGTTTTCAAGAAATATCAAGGAGGACAGTATAGCCAGAGAAGTGTGGTCTGGGAGACCAAGACCCCAATCTGGAACTTGCTAAGGCTTTAAACATGAATCTCGCTCAGAGGGTTGTGGTCAAATGAGTGAAGGTAAGGAAGGTTTGTGGGCATAAACACCTCCAGAGCCCCAAGAACTCAGCCACGGTGGAGTCAGCTGGATCCCTGTAGGGATCCAGCCCCTAAGTTCAGCTTGAATCATTAAACATTCACCATGTTGCCACACTGGGGCTTGGCAGGTGCAGGAGGGACCAGGGACCTGGCAGGTGTTTTCAGTCCAACTTGCGATGGACTAAGACGAGCCCCTCACAGCACCAACAACAGCCATAGCTACTCTGTGCCAACCCTGCACAGATGCCCAGTGGGTCCTGGGTAGGGGGCCAAAGGTGCTGAAGTCAGGTTTGCTCCGGGTTTAGACCCCACTTGACAGTCTGAGCTGGAGTGGGGAGCAGGAAGAGAAGGGGAGTTGCTCAACTCGGTGTGCTTCCTTTGGCCGTTGGTACTCTAGGGGTGACACTGAAACCTCCTTTGTGGGTTAGAGGATTCACTGATCAAGTGTGCTGATGTTGGTGAGGCCTTTGCTGTGTGGCACACAGGAACTATGTGGAGAGCATGTGACGTGTAAGCTGCCAGTGCGTCTACACACGTGGCCGGGCTATCTGACTTAGCGCTGCTGTCTTTAGACACAGTTGGGCTACAACAGCCCCTGCAAATGTCCCCGTCTCCTTCATGCACCTGAGCGAGAAATCCCACAGCCAGGCTTTCTGTCCACAGCTCACTGGCTGCTCTCCGTTCTGTTGTTTACCAAGGGTCTTGCTGTAGTTGGAGTCCTTGCCAATGATGTGTGGGCCTCTCCCTCTCATTTTTATGGTGATAAAGAACTGTCTACGTGACTGATTTATTTAGGAAAGTCTGTTTTCCTCTTTTGGTTTCTTTACCAGTGACTCTCCTCTGGGGACCTCTAGCAATGTCTAGCAATGTCACAGCTGTGACAGAGAGGGTTACTGTTGACTTCCAGCCCAGAGGTTGGGACTTGGGGGTGCTGCTCCTGTCCCACCATGGGGACAGCCTTGACTGTCCCTGCATGAACAAAGTTGTAAAGCTCCGCTCAAAGTATCAGAGGATGCCAAGGCCTAAAGGACATTGAGAAAGGTCTCATGGTCAAGCTCACGGGCAAACCGCCAAGCCAGGGTTCAGACTAGAGCCCAGAGCCTCCCACTCAGGCAGGTGGCAGAGTGGAATGCTACTTAGACATGCTAGAACAAGGCCACACTGTGCAACATGGAGCATTGTGCTAATAGCCTCCAGCCTTAGTTTCCCCACTTGGAAAATGGTTCTGCAAGTACTGACCACGTTATGGGAAGGACCGTTTGGCTCGGGCCATGTGCTTGGCACTGTGCCTAACACTGATTTTGGCCTAAATCAGTGGCTGTACTTTCTTTTCCTCCAAAGTGTTGTCAGGATCCTGAAAAGATGAGAATGTCTGGTTTGGAAAATCCGGAGGGGCCTCTCAGGGGGAGGTGTTTGACAGCTGGCTTTGATTTGGCCAGGCGTGGGGTTAGGCCATGCAAGCGATGGGCCTGGGGTGCTGTGGGCCACCATGTCTGGATGAAAGGGGCAGTGGACCCAAAGGGAGGGTGAGAGGAGGCAAAGTGAGCAGGGCTGATTTCTGGGTCGGGACCCGTGGCCTGGACGGCCCCCACAAATTCTCCCTCAGTCCCGCAAACCTGCTTACAGAGGCACACAGCCCCCCGGCCACCAGGGCCTGTTCCAGGCTGGCAAACCAGGCCCTGGCTGGGGTCACAGACGTGGAGGTGGTCGCAGGACTCCCCCAGCCGCCGCGCACACACTCGGCAACAGCCACAGCCATCTGGTACCAGGGGCACTCCCGGCGGGCATCTGGGTGGTGGCCAGGGGCAGGTGCATGGTGTCTGACACAGCTGGGTTGACACCTGGAAAGACAGAAACCTTACTCAGTGTGGGCTTTCAGGGTGAGCCATGAGACCCTTCCAGGAAGCCACCCCTCTGCTGGGCAGGGAGTTGTGGGGTCTTGGCCTCTGAGTCACCACTGCCACCCTAAGAGGCAGTGTGGCATTGAGCTGCTGAGTCAGGACTCCAGGCCCGAGTTCTGGTCCCACTCCATCCTTTATCATCAGTCTTACACTTTGCAAAATGGGACAACAGTAGGACCTAACCCAGATACAAAGCCCTGAACATGTGGCCTGGCATGCAGCAAGTACCCTGTGCCTTCTGCACTGGTAAATATTACCACTCAGCACAGTGGAGGGCTTAGCTCCTGCTCGCTGGCAGCTCCCAGAAGGGTGAAAACAGCAAACCCTGGATGACAGCGGCAGATTCCCAGCCCGAGGCTGCTCCCCTGTGGATGCAAACAGCCTGAAAAGTTCCATGGCCACAGTTTTGGTCTTTGAAACAATGCATATGTTTTGCTAGCCCTGGTGCACATCAAGTCATCCAGGAGACTTGCTACTACTCAGCTCCCTGAGGTCCTCTCTGGCACTCACCAACTTAGACATCCCAAAGGCAGGACCCCCTGAACTCTGATAAGGAGAGAGACAGACAGACAGAGAAATATTTGCAACAGCCAGGGCCAGAAGCCCAGCATTCAGTCTAGGTCTCCTGCATGGAGGTCAGGGACCCAGCCCCTTGAGCCATCACCTGGTGTCTTCTGGAATGTGAGTTAGCTGAGTGCTAGAATCAGGATCCCAAGCCAAGCTAGGACTTGAACTGGAAACATCGATAGGGAAGGCAGGTGTCCAGTTGATGTCCTACGTGCTTCCAGCACTCCCGCTGCAGTCTAGTTTTATTCATCTACCCAGAGACTTTGGAAACCTGGCTTGACCTGGGTCTGGGCCCTTCCCCCTGCTGGGTCAGAGTGGGCCGACTGAGCTGCTGAGTAAGTCAGTGTCTGCTAGATGCAGAGCAGGGAGCAGTCCCCAAGTCCTGTGTCCCTCCACCCTGTCCCCCCCTCCAGCCCCAGTAAGAACCCAGGACACTGAGTGGGGGTGCACTTTAACTTTAGAGGAAAAGCCTAGTTGGGGAGCCCCACTCCCCGCCCTGCCCCTGCCAGCAGCAGTCACAGCACCAACCCGTGACCCATTTGTCCCTACTGGGCCAGGACAAGGAAATATCTGAAGGTAGGGAACAAGTGTTAGCATCACTTAGGATAGTCCTAGTGGACCCATCTCTCCCGGGTGTTAAGGGTGGGGAAAGGGTGGAATAAGAGGGTTTATCTAAAGCAGGGGAGACATGAAGTTCAGGAAGATGAAAGAATGAGTTTATTTCTCCTGTGAGGCCAAAATGGTCAAGGACTGTTTTGTCTCACCGCGGTGCCCACCACCTGCCCGGCTTCTCCAAACCCGCTTCCAGTTGCCTGCTGTTCCGACCATGACCAGCAGGGGCCGCGCCACAACCTGGCTGAGCAGCCCGTGGGGAGGTGGAATGAGACGAGGATTCTGATTGTCACCTTAACAAGCCCAGGGGTAACCCATACAGAGCTCATGTGAGATGACACCGGCTGAACTTTTGGGTCCCTCGGAGCCTCTGGCCAGAACTGCCTCTCAGCACTTCCCACCTGGAAGCAAGCCTTCCCCGTACACCCTGGGGGTTCCTCTGGCAGGTCCTGGCATCCAGGAAGAGCTGGGGATGACATATTCCATGACAGCTGACAGTCACCATGTGCACACCATGTGTGGGTACCTCCGTGCACAATCTCATTGGACTCTGCCATGAGGGGCTGCACCCCTGTGCCCACTGCGGCTCAAAGCAGCAAACAGCCTGGAAGAGCTAGACCTGGGATGAAATCCAAGTTCGTGTGAATTCACAGCCCCTACCCTACATCTGTGTCCTCCCCGCCTAGTCTCTCGGGAGCTCTGATGCCAGCTTAGCTGCTGCCTCAGTTTCCCCACTAACTCAGGAGTGGTAGTGATGCATCAGAGAGGGTATTTGGGCACAGCCAAGGAAGGATGTACCCTCTCTGTCTCTACTCCCTTCCTGGTCCTCCAGTCCGTATATTCAGGTTGTCCCTTGTGCCTTCCATCTGCCCGGAACCTTGCAGGGTTGTGTGGCAGGGGCGAAGTCTGCTGGGTAAGAGATGTAGCTTGGATCCCTGACTGCTCAGTGATGCAGACTTGGCACACACTGGCCCCTTGGTCAGGTGCCCTAGGAAACACCTGCCCATGAGAGATGATGGGGACTAAATCAGGTCACATCAGCGGCGTGTTCTGCCCCTTCTGCCTCCTGCCTCATCCCCATGGTCTGCCACACAGACTTGGAATTCCCAGGGCACGGTGGCGGCTTTGCCCATCCACAGTGACTGAGTCCCTGGGTGCCTTTGCAGGAAGTTGCCCTGGCTCCCTGGGGCTCACAGCAGCAGGAGGCTAGGGTGTCCTTTTTCTCTCATGGAGTCCCCAGTCTCATGGAGTCTGCCATGGTGTCCCTGGCACCACATCCTCGCTGTTCCCCTGGGAAAAGCAGCCTCAGACTGGGGAGTTGCAGGGGCCACAGCCTCCCCTGCATGGCTTCCTAGGTCCAGGGCAAGGGTGGGGCACGGGAGTGGGGAGAAGATCCTGCAGGGAGATCTTGGCTCCTGGGGGTCGGGGGAGACACCCTCACCGCACACACCTCCAGGCTGGTTCCAGCCTGCCCTTCACTATTGTTCCGATGTAGCTTTGCTGTGTGGCTATGGGTAAGTGGCTTACAGTCTCTGAGCCTTGCCTGGTCAAAAACTGGGGCTAATGATTTCTTCTGGAATTGTCTTGTTAGGCAAGGTCAATGTTACACAGTCCTTTGATAACTGTCCAGGCACTTGCCAGGGGATTAAGCCTTCCTTCCCATCCCTCCCCCCATCTCTGCCCCACCCCCAGAGGTTCCTGTCTGAGGGACCCACGACATTAATGCCCTTCTCAATTCTCATTCCAGTCCTGGCTCAGCCCTATCTCCAATGCCCCGCCCCCACCATTTGGAATGAGGCTGCCCACTGTGCCATGCGGGGCTGGCCATTAAGCTTCCCTATTGAAATGCACCGTGTTCCAGGGCCCTGGGCACAGCCTCTTCAGTAAATTTCCCCCATCTCTGCAAAGCCTTCAGCAGAGTTACATCCATCCAGCTGAAGACTCGGCGAAGGCTCAGAGAGGACAGGGGCTAGCCTGAGGTCACACAGCAGAGCTGGCAGGAGGCAGCTGGCTGGGAGCCAGGGAGGGGAGCCTGGCTCGGGCACAGGGACTGGGCTGCAGCCCACTGGGACCCTGTAGGAGTCCACTCAGTGGGGGCGGCGGGGGGAGGCGACAGGGACAAGGGACATCCTGGGCTGTGCTTTTCCACCCTTCTTCCCACCACACTGAAGGGGGCTAGGGGCATCTTAAGATCGCCTTACCTGTGAGAGCAGGCTGAGGAAGAAGGCCAGCAGGTGGGGCTGGGATGTACCCCGCATGTCGCGAGTCCCCCGTGGAGCCAGCTCTGAGCCTGGGAAGCAGAACCTGCAAGTGTTTATGTTCTGGCAGCTATGAGGTCACTCCCAGGCTCGCTCACTCATGCTCGCTCATTCTCCCACTCTCTCTCTCTCATACACACACACACACACACACACACACACACACACTGGCTTTTTGCATTCCTTACTCCTCTTTCTTGGGGTCCCGTTTATCTGACTGTGACACTGTGCAGACCACCAAGGACGGCCAGTGTGTGCATGTAGCCCGGACCAGTGCCAGACCAGGAGCCTGGAACAGGCTGTCAGGGGCCTCTTTAGCTCCCCCCAGCACAAGAGGGCCTTAGCATGGGGCAGCTGCCATAGCTGCTGCCACCCGGCCTCAAACCTCTGCCCACCTCCACCCCCGCAGGGCTACAGCAACCGGAAACAGCCAGCAAACACCCGCTTTGTGAGCTGACCCAAGGCTTCCCAAGCCCCCGGCCCAGACTCTGGGCAGCCTCCACCAGGCCTGTGGTTTCTGGCAGGGAGCATGGCAGCCACCCAGCAGTGGGTGTGACCCAGAGCAGCACTTCCCTGGGCAGCCTGCGCACTCTTGGCAGCAGGCACCTGCCTGCCTGCTTGTGGCCTATTCACTGATATCCTCCAGGGCACAAGCCACAGGAGGCTGGACCTACTGTGCGCTGGCACCTAATGAGCACTGCGGGAGGATCTGGTCAAATCAAGCTCATTATCTTGATCCAGCCCTCACCAATGCCTCCTCCTTGAGCATGAGCTGGAAACACAACCTTGGGGCTGGACTCACAGTGGGAGACCACAAGGGACAACCTGGTGGGCTTCCTGGGAATAGCAAGGAGAGCCCCCCTCCCCCGATTCAAACCAAGGGTGGGGTGGCTTCCTGAGGCAGGGTCGTTGCAGGGAGATGAGAACGCAGAGTGCAAGGGAGGTAAGGCGTTCTTACAGGAGCTGTGGGCAATGGGCGGATTCAATGTGGGATCCTCTCAAAATCACACCAGCTGGGTTGTGAGGCCATCTCCAATGGTATATGCCCTGCAGGTGGGCACGCCAGGGCGTGTGGCATTGGCCTGTGAGATCTGGCAGATGTCAGGGGTGTGTGCAGCTGGAGAAAGCTCTGGCCTTTCTGTACCCCTAACTGCAAAGTGGTGGAGCAGAATGCTGGAAAGTTCCAGAAAGGATGGGGAATGAGGCAGAAGAGGAACTTGATGAAGGGGCCAGACTCAGGCTGGAGGGAGGTACCCTCGTGGTTACAGTCCTGGGGCAGAGGAATGGAGATGCGAGGGCGCATGGCAGCGAGGGTGCTATATGAAATGAAATCCCTGCTTTTCACGTGTGAACTCAAATTTTGCACCAGCCGATCAAACCCATTATTTGCCCTGCTTCTGGCTGTTTGACTTTCCTGCATTTTACACATAAGGCAACACTCCAGACACTCACAAAGGGTGGCAACATTGAAATATCCGAATCACTGCCTTTGCCATTGCTCTGTATTTGTTGCTTATTGAAATCTGCTTTTTAAACACAGCAAGATGTAACACTACCAAAGCCTGGAACAGGCACCGTGCCCTGGGCAAGTTTGAAAGGCTCCAGACTACTGGGAATGTCCTTTGTCAGTGAATGCGTGTTCCTGAGTCCACATGTGTTAGTGTCACCATGTCCTGGAAGTTCTCCGTTAACTTCCGTGTAGACAATGCTTATTAAGGCATAAGCATCCAGATGTCCTCATTTGATGCTCACCCCACATATCTTATTATTATTCGACAGTTACAGCAACAGGTGTTTAGAACTTCAACCAATGAATGTCATCTTCAGGATTGAGTATTTTGCCACTATCATGGTTTAGTTTGACAGCACACGCTGATGATCAAAAATGCAAGCTGACTTCTCATCAATTTTGTCTAGAAGTTCACTGCCCCTTCTTCCAGCCTATGCCCAGGGAGGACCACACCCCCTTCCAGGACCCCACAGGCTGCTAGCAATAAAAGTGATCCGGTACTGTGTACCCAGAAAGCCAGCTCGCATGCCAAGTACTGGTTATAACAACTGGCATAACAAGTTTATTTATTGGAAAGGTGGAGTGACAGAGTGGAGAAAGTGGAGACAGCCAGTAGGCCACGCTGAAGTCAGGAATCATGAACCCTGGCCAGGTTTCCCACATTGGTCGCAGGATCCCAAGTCCCCGGGTGCATCAGCAGGAGGCTGGGCTGGCAGCATGACGCAGCCAGGCCTTGAGCTAGGCATCCTGAGATGCAAGATCCCAGGACAGCTCCACCTGCTAAATCACAAATGTCCATCCTAAGTTGGCATGTTTGATCCTTCCAGTACAGGCCATAAGTTTTTGAAAAGTGAGGCTCAGCTAGGTTAAGTCATTGTCTAAGGTCACACAGCTACACCCAGAAAAGTGCTTGCTCCACACTGGGGCTGCGTGGACAGCCTGAGAGCCATCCCCGTGCTAAGGCACTGACCAGGTCAGCAGCTACAAGCAAACTCTCACTCCAGGAGGCGTCCCCTACCCCTCCCCAAACTGTGCACTCTGCCCCGCAGGTCCCTGCAGTTCTGACCTCCATCTGGGGGAGGGGACAGCGTTCTCCCACTCCACTCCTTTCTGGGCTGAGCAGGAAGAGGCTGCAGCCAGCTCTGCTTCTAAGACAGGAAATCCATCTCTCTCCATTGCTGAGGATGGAAGCGAGCAGGTAGCGGATGCTCTGAGTGCCTCGTGGATAGTGCCAGCTGCTTATGGCTACTCTGGTTGCCACACTGCCTGCCTCGTTGGCCTCACAGAGACCTAAGCATCCAGGAACCCCTGTGGGCTCTAGCCTGGACCCCAGTTCACCCCAGGATTAGGCACAGCCTCGCTCTGCCTAGCTGGAAGGAGAGCCAAACTCAGATGCTCCTGATCAGGGGCAGGGGTTGTGCACGGCGGGATACACCCCTCTTGGGAACCCCGCATCCCATGTCAGGGTGTCTGTGTTTTGGTCTCACTCTTCTTCCCACCCAGCCTCCTGTTAAACACACGTGGGGACAGCAGATGACGGTGCAAGGTGCTTGAGCCCCTGCCATTCATGTGGGAAGCCTGTATGGAGTTCCTGGTTCCTGGCCTCAATCTGGCCTGGCCTTGGCTCTTGCAGCTTTCGATAAAGTGAATTTCGTCCAGCCTTCCTCTGTCCCAAGGGCTGCTTCTCCCTGGCCTCTTCCTGCCCCACACGTGCTCTGGCTTGGACGGGAGGTCGGTCAGCTCCTGGCCTTGAAGCCCCAGGTGCTTGGCATGGCTCCTCTGGGACTGCCATGGGACTTGAACAGCTTAACCCTTGGCCCCCAGCCCCAGCTGGCAAGGTTGAGCGGGCAGGGTCTGACACAGTTCACTCCCACCCCCCCGACCGAGAGAGGCAGAGGTGGAGCTTGTAGCTTGTGGCACCCACATGGGACTGCCTTGTCCCCAGTATATGCTGCCCTGAGAGCTGGGGCTTCTGGCCATGATGTGGACTTGTTTGCTGGGGGCGTGGGGGCGGGTTGTGCTGAGTGTGCAGTTGGTGAGGCATAGACAGATGCCTGCTGGGAGCTGGGGGATGTCACAGCAGGGCACAGGAAAGGCCTCAGAAGTGTCCCGAGGGGGATTAGTGATGGGCCTGGCAGGCTGGGGGTGGTGCTCTGAGCGTGGTCCGTTTGGGGCTGGCTGTACAATGGCTGCACGCGTGAGTAAGTGAATCAGAAGATTGGAGCTGTAATCCCAACTCCGTTGCTGTGCATCCTCGGGCTAGTGCCTGGGCCTTCCTGGTCTCAGTTTCCTTATCTTTAAAATGTGAGAGAGATGAATTCTGTATTTTGTGGGTTTCTAAAAATTTATTTATTTATTTATTTTGAAAGAGTTACAGAAGGAGGGAGAGACACAGATCTTCCACCTGCCGTTTTACTCCTCAGATGGCGGCAACAGCCAGTGCTGCGCCAGGCCAAAGCCAGTAGCCAGAAACTTCAACTGAGCATCTTAATGTGAGTGGCAGAGGCCCAAGTACTTGGGCCACCTTCCACTGCTTTTCTCAGGCCACTGGCATGGAGCTGGATTAGAAGTGGAATAGCTAGGACATGAACCAGGGCCCCAGCGGGATGCCAGCATTGCAGTTGGCATTATCCACTGCACCATAGTGCCAGCCCAGAACTCCGTATTTTCCAGGGTCTCTGAAAGAAGCAGTTCTGACCCGGTGGGTGAACCTTACTTATATCCTAGAGCCCCAGAATGGCCTAAATTCTCTGACATCTAATTAATTACCGAGTTCAGGAGTCCCACAAGCTGGAAATACTGGGTTGGGAGAGGTGGTGGGGGTGGTTTTGCTCATGACCAAGGGTGGGGAGGAAGTAGATAATGAGTCCTGCTCCATCATTCAGGAGACCCAAGGACCTCTCTCCCTCAGTCTGGGTCCCTGCAAGTCCGTCTGATCCGTCTACCCATCCGGCCACATCTGTCCCTTCTTTCATCTCCTTTTAAAAATTGTATTTTCATGTATTTTCATGAACGGCATAGAGGCAGCTGGAGAGCTTTCATCTCCTGGTTCATATCCCCAACAGCCACAGCAGTTAGGGCTGGACCGGGCCAAGGCCAGGAGCCCAGAACTCCAATCACATCCCACACATAGATAACAGGGACCACGTACGGAAGCCATCGCCTGCTGCCTTCATGGTGTACACTGGCAGGAAACTGGCTCAGGAGAGAGGAGATGGAGCATGAACCAGGCGCTCTGATGTGGGCTGTGGGATCCCAAACAGCATCGGAACCACCTGCCCCATCCATCCATCCTTTTATCTGTTCTTCTAGTACCATTTATGCAGCCATTCAATCAACACTGAATATAGTGGGTCATAGAGAATAGGGGGCTGGCTTTCTGGCATAGTCGGTTAAGCCTCTGCCTGCAACACTAGTATTTTGTATGGGCACTGGTTCACATCCCAGCTGCTCTACTTCCAATCCAGCTCTTTGCTAGTGGCCTAGAAAA